GAGAAAAGAAGGATTTCCTGGTAAGAAAAACCACCCACCCACATGACTAATTCAATGTCAAATTCATTGGAAATGCGTGGAGTCATCTGCAGCGCAAAGGAGGCGCCACGGCAGAAGGAGCAGAAGGTGCCACAGGAAAAGGGGCGACACTTGGATAGCGAAATTCAAGGTCCCACCAATGGAAATGGAGACCCAAACACACGACGATTCTTATGCAAAATTTCTTGGGATTTGGCGGCCTGTTAACAGTTTTCGCATTATTATTGCAACACCATCAAAGGAGTCCCACACCATACACACTTTCGGGCACACTCTGCTGACCAAAGCGGCATGGGCATGGGCATGCCACACACGAAACTTTATCGAGTCCCCAGGCCGAAGAGTCGTCAGTCCCCTGGCTCGGACCATCGCGAGAGGTCCTTTGGTCATTTAGCTTTCGCCACTCGATTCGTGCGGTGGTACAACGCGTGTGGCACTCCGCAAGAGGCAGGCGGAATAAATACTAGAAAATAAAACGAAACAAAGGCAAAAATATTGATTAACTTTTTCCGGTGTGTGTGCCGTGTGGTGTGTCGCGCCCCAAGGGCCATAAGGCTATAAGTGGACGGTGCGGTGACCGGCAGCGTCCGTTCCTCAGCGGAAGGGAGCGGCAGGAGCAGCAGCACCAGGCAGCGGTAAAAAAAAAACAATTTTGGAACAATGCCAGAGACGAGCAGCAGCAGCACCAATAATCAGCACGAAGATCACTTTCCCAAGCCGCAGCAGAACTTTTCATTCTCCAGCAGCTATCCCTACGCACCAGGACGCACCACCACCTCCAATTCCAACTCCTACAACGTGCAACGCTATCAGAGTCCCTACAATTTCCAGCACGTGGTGACGAACGCCTTCTCCGTGCTGCACGCTCCTCATCCCTCGGAGGATCTCGTTTTCAGTCCGCGACCACAGCAGGCCATTGTGCGTCCCACACGCCGACAGGAGGTGCCGCTCGAACCGGAACCCTCAGAGGATCATGTAGATCCACCTAGATCCTTCTTCTCGAGGAGCAACCAGGAGGTGCGCAACTTTGCGGATGAGCTGAGCCACAAGCTGCGTTTCCTGGCGCCGGAGGAGAACTACGGCGGTGGCTATAGCGGCGGCGGCGGCACCGCCGGCGCCTGGCTGGCTGCCCGACACTCGGGCGAAATGTCACAGCGTCCGCGCTTCGAGACGACTGTACCCACGGGCATCTTTCTGCCGCCGCCCCACGAAGTGCAGATGCTACCCGCATCGATGCTCCGGCGTCATGTGTATGCCTACTCCTCGTATCCCATGATCCTGCAGAGCTACTACTCAAAGGACCCCCTCAAGTCGCCCAATCCGGGGGAAAAGGAGAACAAGGCGGTGACTGCCACACGATTGAATGGTTTTCGTGCCACCGCTGCCGTTGCAGCAGCCACTGCGGCTGCGGCTCCAGTGGCAGCAGCCCCCAAAGCCCCAAAAGCCCCCTCCACCGATCCAAACCAATCCCTGGCCGGTGGTCTCCACATAACGAAGGCCCAGTTCCAGCAGCAATTGCAGCAACGTCGCGGCACAAGCGACAAAAGGTAATAAAAGGCTGTAGAAATGTAGAGGCACTCGGGCACTACAGTTTCCACCCCTGAAAATGTAGAAATCCCCGCAAGGCAGGAGGTTTCCTTGCCGGATTGGCGGTCATCCAATGGTAGTAAAGTGTGCCGTACAAATATTACCATAAATTCGAATGGGAAGCGGACTCTGACGCGCCCTCCTTCGACCTCCTTCTTCCTTGGATTCCTTCGATCGATTCTGTGGGTTTAACACTTCAATTGGAAAATGTTTTTGTTTTTCAATTCATTTGGTCAATTTTATTATTAATTTATTAAGCCAGAAAATTGGGGGTACGAAAACAAAGAAAACTAAGGAAGAAGACTGGCGGAAAATGATAGGGAAAACCTTGCATAAAACAAGGACAAGCAAACAGAAGGACAATTGGGAGCGGGCGGAGCCACTCCACTCGTATGTTTTTCGTGTCGTTTGGCCAGAAACCCTTAAATAATTTAAATCTAGATTTCGTAAACAACGACCAAAAAAAAGAGCAAAGCAACGACAAAAAATAGTGCCACAAATTGAGGGGGAAATTAAGTTCAATTGCCACACCAGCCAGCACCCAAATGTGTGGCAGGAAGGACATGGGACCGACCCAACCTGACCCCTGCCTCCTGGCGCCGGTAGTTGTGTCTCTGGTAAATGGTACCGCCACACAAATGAGTCTCCACATTTGTATGATGTTAAATATGTGAAGAAAAAGAGAGGTTGATTAAGTAAATATCATTTTTATGACCTCTTTAGAGTAGAATTTCGACTGTAATTTGTAACAGAAATATGAAATACAGAAGATAATAGGCAGAATATATAATAAAGTAAGTGTGGTGTAAGTAAAAGAAGAGATAGCCAGTACGTACTGGCAGTAACAAATAGAATAGTAACAAGTGATGGAAGTTCACTGATGGAATATTTTTACAACGAGAAAAGAAGAACAGTGGAATACGAGTATAACAAACACTCAAAATATGTAGTATATTGGATTTACTATCAGTAACAGTCGTAATACAGAAGTTATCCGTTCATTTGTGGGAAGTATTTTAGCCGAATCACCGAATGGCCAGAATACAAAGCTTCTTCTTTGAGAAACACTCACAAAACTATCTACGGCACAATTCTATTCTCTCTTGTTCCTCTACAACTGCACTGCTGATTCACTCAGGACAGACCCAGACCCAGAGAAAACCCTGCTGTTAGTTAGAGCTTAAACTTATAGGTACATGAGGCCGGCTGCAGCCAGACCAGACATTCGCCCGACGTTCAATGTCTAACTTCCGCCCAAAAAGTGGCTACAAAAATTTGCATAGGTCACGAGTTCACGATCCAAGTTCCTCCATGTCTGACACAGGGAATTGTTTGGATTCCTTTAGAGGCGAATACTCGTACATAGAAATTAGCAAGTCATAAATAACTCACCAGAGCGAGATGCAAAAGGAGTTTTAAAGCTTTAAAACTCGAGGGAAATCGAGTAGTGCTTCTCCATTTGACCCAAAAGTGTAGTGAACTTCGGTGGGGGGTTGGGTTGGGTGTTCGAATTGATTCGAATCGGAGATGACTTGACAAGCAGCCCGCCTGCTGCTGGTGGGCGTTGGGGCGTTGAGAAATGCACAAATTTGATGATTATCGCCCGTTGGAGGAGGGTGCAACAGATTTGGGAGGCCTCTAGAATAAAGAGAGAGGAGCGTAAGCGAGCGTTGAACTGGGTCGAGGTTCTTGCCTTTAATTGATGGGAATACTCACCTTTTTTTTCTGTCGCCTCCACAGACCCATTGTGCCGCCGCCAGAGCCTTACAAGAACGTCATGTACGACCGTCGTGTCATAAAAGGCAGCAACTTTGGCAACGCCTCCATGGTGGTAAGTGGCTTGTCCAATCGCCAGGCAGGCAGTCCTTCGGCAGCCGTGACCCGGGTATGATCCACTTTCTTATGTGTGTTTGCTTCACAGACGGATGTGGATCCCTTCGACAAGGCCGCGGAAATTAAGCGACGTAATATGCTGCGAAAGCGTTCGATCCAATGCAGAAACCAGCGGAATGTCCTGGGCACACCACCACCAGTGAAGGGCCGCAAGCACGAGACCATTCAGACGGAAAAGTATTTGGAGAAGCTCGTGCAGCGTCCGCCCGAATTCACGGTGGACACGCAAACGGATCTGTTCCTGGAGAAGCCGCCAACGCCGCCATTCGTTGCCGCGAAGGTGGGCGTCGATGTGGGCACCGAAATCGGCGAGGGCGAGCTATTCCACTTCGATGCCGAGGCCCAGCCCATTATTGATGTCCTGGTTGATGCCTGCATCGAGCAGAGCATGCTGGAGGTCGCACACGAGATGGAATTGGACAGTTTGCGACGCAAGCAGGAAGAGTACGCCAGTCACAGATCCCTCCAGAGATCATCCTTGTACAATTCCTTCTTTCTTTTGCAGATTCCTAGCCCAACGCGAGGTGGAGCTTGCCGAACTGCGGCGCCTGGAGGCTGAGGAGATGCGCCTGCGTGCGGAGAAGGAGCGTCGCCTGCGGCAGGATGCCATTGCCAAGGAGCTCGATGCCGAGATGCAAAAGAGTGTGACGGCAGCCAAGCTGCTGCAGGGCCACATTGCCAGCTTGGTGCCAGAGGTCCTGGAGAACATCGAGCCAGCCAGCGATGCCGTAAAGAAGGAACAGCTCATGAAGAGCATCTGCCCCTGGCTCTCAGCGGAGGTGGCCGAGGAGGTGGGCCACATTGTGGACTCGCGCGAGATCCTCACGGCCATCATACAGGAGATCATCAAGCAGCGGGCGGAGGTTTATGCCGGTTATCGCGATGCCTCGTCCGAGCCGACGCCACGCACGCCCGACATTTGCGAGGAGGAGGGCTGCATGATCGACGAGATGGAGGCGTGTCCGTGCGAAACCGAACCCGAAGAAGAGTGCCCCGAACCGCCGCCCGAGCCTCCGCATTTGTGAGCACATCGCAAAATGCTGTAAAATGAATTATTTTGTTTAAATTTAGTTAAGAGTTTTAAGTTGGTAAAAAATGGCGGCCCCTCCCACACACACATACCTACCTTACCCAAAAGTACCGCTATGATGGACAGACAAGATGGAGCACGCACCCGACGCTTTGCGGTTGTGTCTGGCGGTGGTGTCTGTCCCTGGCGCGCACCGCAGCAGCTGGCTGCCAAACACAATTGCAGTGCGGCGGCGAAGTTTCAAATTGTAACTAAATATTGTTAAAGGTTTTTATGTTATTAAAAATGCAACGAAATAAAGCTCAAGAAACCACGAAAACAAGACGAAAATCTTTTCACTCGCGATTCAAGTTACCGCAACTTCCATACAACTCTGAATAACGAATATTTATCGATTTATCGATAGTAGAATTTCGAGGAACTGCCAACTGCATTGTGCAGCCACAGGTTGGCATCCCTGTGACGTCATTTGTTTTTCCCTAATTTGTGAATCACCACAACGAAATTATTAGTTTTCATTAGTTTTCACGGCTGCCACAGAAGTAGCTGCCCCAAATCACAATGTTCTCCAGCGGCCCCAACTACAACAAGCTGAAGACCAACCTGCGGTTGGCCCTCAATCGCTTGAAGCTCCTGGAGAAGAAGAAGGCGGAGCTGACGCAAAAGTCCAGGAAGGAGATTGCAGACTATCTGGCCACCGGAAAAACAGAGCGTGCCCGCATCCGAGTGGAGCACATAATACGGTATGACACATGACACAAACGCTATAGCTGGTAATCCTTCACCACCACAGATATTTACTTGTTGTCCCCACAGCGAGGATTATCTGGTGGAGGCAATGGAAATGGTGGAAATGTACTGCGACCTGTTGCTCGCTCGCTTCGGTCTCATCACCCAAATGAAGGAACTGGACTCGGGCATAGCCGAGCCGGTGGCCAGCCTTGTGTGGGTGTGTCCCCGGCTGCAGAGCGACATTGCGGAGCTGAAGATCATCTCGGACATCTTCATCACGAAGTACGGGCCACAGTTTGCGGAGCACAATCGCACTGCCACCGGGGATCACTGTGTGTCCGAGAAGCTGATGCACAAGCTCACCCTGCAGGCGCCGCCCAAGCTGCTGGTGGAGAAGTATCTGATTGCCATCGCCAAGAACTACAACATCGAGTACGAGCCGGATCCACAGGTGATGCAGGAGGAACAGAAGCCCGAACAGCATCATCTAATCGATCTCTCCGATCGGAATAATCTCAGTGGTGGGGGTGGCGGCATGCCTCCGCCACAGATGGGTTTCATTGGTTATCCGGCTGTGCCGCCGCTGCCCAATATGCCGGAGCCGCCCACAAGCAAACCCTTCAATTATCCGCCATTTGGTGGTGGTGGTGGGGGAGGAGGAGGAGCTGGTGCCTGTGCTGGCCCACAGCCGCCGCCACCATTTGCCTACAACATACCGCCCAATCAGCCGCCACAGCAGCCAACGATGCCATCAATGGTGCCTGGCAAATGCGCGGAGGAGAAGGATCTGAATACCAATTTCATAAATGTAACTACCATTCTTTTTTGTATATTTCCCCACTTTTTGGCATGTCTTTGCATGATTTTTATGGGCTATTGCAGCGGGAAACTAACAATACGGATGATTCGGGCAGCCCAGATGAGAATATTCTGGTAGGTTTTTCCTGTAGCTTTATTGTTGCCTCTACTAACATTTGATCGTGCTTATCGTTCCATCACTTAACTGCCTTTTCTCTGGGGTTGAATCTTCTCCTTCCTCCGCCTTTGTCTCTCTTATCTCTCTGTGTGACGTCAATGCGTGTAAGTCCGAACATCCCCCACAAAGTGATTCATAATCAATCCCCCTGCCCAACACAAACACCAGCATACCTGCATGCCCCTCTACCATATTTGTTGATTTTTATTTGCATTTTGATTTCCCGTTTTTTTTGCTTGACAGCGCCCTAAACCCAACAATGATCCGCCGCCACGTTATACCTCCATTAATCCCGTCAACCTGCAGGTCAGGATCCACCGAAACTATGGATAATTGCATTCTTAAATCTTCTTTTGTGCCTCTCGTCCGCAGAATGCCAACAAACCGAAACCACAACCGCGCTCAAAGCTGCCACCTGGTCCACCCACACTACCCAGTGCACCGCCTGCCTGCCTGGACCTTCCATCGCTGCCCAATGTACCCCTGGATCTGCCAGACATTCCCCCAGGGCCTGCTGGCAAGAAGGAGGACGAGGATGAGATCGATTTCGATGAGCTGTCGCGTCGCTTTGAGAATCTCAAGAAGCGCAAATGAAATTGTTATATGTTTATTCTCGATCCTGTACTCTGTTTCACATAAATAATCACGTATATATATGTCCACTTAAAAGACCTCCTCATTCTCCACGACCTCTTTGAGTTCGAGAAGTTCCAGCAGACCCTTGCCCTTGGTTTCGTTGCGCACCAGTTCATCAATCACGCGATACTGCCCAGGATCAATCAGCAGCGTCAAATGCAGCGTAGACTCCTCCCACTCCTCGTGCTCCACTGCGTTGGCCAGCTTGACGACAGATTCCTTGAGCTTGCCGCCGCCTTCTTTGCCCGCAAAGCTGACGCGCAGTTTCATGCGTGACCGCTCGATGGGCAGATGCTCGCGCAGCATTTTGATGGCCTCCAGTGTGTTCTGTTTGGTGTTTTTGTTCATCTTCACCGAAAAGTGGGCGTCCTTAAGGGACTTTTCAATGATCGAGGACGAGTAGGGCCGACGCGTCTCGGGATTGACGCAGAGAGCAGCCACACTGTTGACGATGCTGTTCAGCTGCGTGTCTAGCACGCTCTGGCGCTCCTTCTCCGAGACCTGAAGTTCGCCCTTGCTCAGGATTTCCTTGCAGATTTCCGTCTCATCTGTCTTGTTGAAGGCCTTCTGCAGCTCATCTTTCTTGGCCGCCTGGCCCTTGGACACGTTCGTGAAAACCGTGTGGGTTTGCAGCACCTCATCGATGTCCTTTTCGCTGAAAGAGGAGATATGGTCAAGGAACGTGTTCCCGTGCGATGGACTTCAGCCACTACTCACCTGTTGCTGCGCCACGACAGGACTTTGTTCTTGTAGCAGGCAATCTCGAAGCGCTTGCCGCCCTTCTTTAGCCTCACAATGGCCACATTTGTGAGGCGAATTTGATTTGTGGGTGTGAAAATTTTGGACATGATGAAATTATAATAAATTGTTTGAGATTAGCGATGAGCGTTTGCAAAAATACAGAATTACTTCGATACATTTAAAAGAAACTTTTCCTCATTTATTAACCCAAAACGGCTATTAACCTTTGAAGAGATCTAATGTCACACAGAAAACTTCGTTTTATTTTCCCTATTGGCCCTAGCTATCTCTGAAACTTGCATTTTCCACCAACGATTTGTATCAGCCGCAGCTATCGTTTTGTTATATCGCTGGCCGCACATCTCTACTGTATCTGTATCTCTACTATGTCTCTGTTGTTGTTGGACTCTCTCTTCTTCTTCCATCCAATCTGCAAGAGCGCGCTGTCCGTTACCAACAAACGGCCCTTAAATCGCGATATCAATTGCCAAAAAATCGTGTTCAACAAAGTGCAGCTTATCAAGCTGATAATGGCCAATAAAATGATATCAAACAGTCAAACGCGGGCTTCAGTGCATAAATCAGTGAATATTAGTGCAACTCCAGTGCCTCGAATATTTAGTGGTCCCAATAAAATGGCTACATGCGAAAGAGTGGTACCACTAAACATTAGACGAAAGCGGCGAAGAGACAGACATCGATAAACGAGTGTAGCAAAACGCAACACTGAAAAATGTTTGTAAACAGCTGCGTAGCTCCGCCAGGCCGCCAGAGGGCGCGCCAACTGCGCGTGGGCATTGCCAGAAAAAACAAATTGAAATGCTGCCCTGTGAAACGCCATATTTGATTCGACTGCCCTGCATTATAATACAAGAAATTAAAATTTTCGAGCGAAAACGCTGGCCCAGGCTTGCTAATCACTTGTCCTAACGTGTGAAATTCTCTCGTGAAAATGATTTAACACAGATAAAGTGATTCACGAGTGGAGTCCAGCAAAGCAACGTCGGACGTATCCAAACTCCCATCAACCCAGCCGAAGGTGTGTGTTTGTGTGTGCGTTTGTGTATGTGTGTGAAACGCATGAAAAATGGTCTGAAGAAATGTCACAGAAATTGTATAATAAACGTGGAATAAACGTTTCGCTTGCTAACTGCGCAGAGCCCACTATTATCCTGTACCATTGACATGGGACAAAAGATTGCTGTGTTTTCCGTGTGCGCTCGCCATGTGTTTATGTGTGTGTGGAAGGCCATCTTGTAGCGGAGACCATCATTAAAATATTGTGTCTACTCTCCGCTCTTTGTACTCTCTCTGCCAGTGCAGAGACCACAGACCCCATAAAATGGAGCAGTATCTAGTGCCGTTAGAGGAGCCCGTCTACTCGGATTTGCAGGTGGTGCAAGTGCCCCAAGAGGAGGTTGGGGTGAGTATTTAGAGTGCAGTCGGAAATCTTCGTGGCATTTATAAACTGGAATGCCATTTGTATCGCAGTCTCTGGTGCTCCAGGATGACCAGCAATTGGTGTTCAACGACCAGCAGCAGGTGGTGTATCAAACCACGGCGCCGGCCCAATACCAGCAGCCCCAACAGGCCACCGCTCCTGCCCACTATATAATCGGAGGGGATGATCTCGCCCAGCAGCAACAGCACCAGCAGCAGCAGCAAGTCGTGATGCATCATCAGCAGCACCAAGTGCAGCAAGTGCATTATCAGCAGCAGGAGGCACAACAACAACAACAACAGCAGCAGCAACAAATCCATTTGGAGCAGCAGCAGCAGCAATATGTGCAACATCAGCAGCAACAGCCCGCCATTCAGCATACCCAGCAGATTTATTACACCTCCGAGCAGGTCCTACAGCCTAATACTATTGTGCAGCATGCATCCATGCAGCAATTGCAGCAGCAGCAGCAACAGAAGAAGCAGCAACAGCAAGTCCTGCAGCAGCAACAACAACAACAGCAGCAATATCATGCGCCCGCCTATCAGCAACAGACGGCGCAATTGGTGCAAACGAGTGCCCAGCAACAGCAGCAGCAACTGTTGCAGAGTCCCCAACAGCATCAGCAGACGCAACAGCAGGCCCAGACATTGCACCTGCAGACATCCCCCGCCCAGCAGCAGCAACAACAGCAGCAGCAGCCGCAGGTCGTTTACCGCATGACCACCACACAGCAGCAGCAACGACCGCTTACTGTAAGAACCAACATATAGAATCCCAGAACCCCTAGAATCCCAAGAAACAAAAATTTTTAAGGTGCGAAATTCGCTTAAAGAAATCAATAGAAGTAGACGCCTAATGAATGATTTTTTAGTGATTTAAATATTTCTATATGTGTGCAATCAAGTTAACATTCTTCTCATTTGACATTTAATCCAGAACAATATGCATGTGATTGTCCAGCAGCAGCCCGTGCTTATCCAGGCGCAGCAGCACCAGGAGCTTATCATGCGCCAGGCCACGGCCATTCATCCGTACAATAATCGCGTTGTTTATACCACATCGCCTCAGCAGCAGCATGTGCTCCAGCAGCATGTGCAACAGCAGCATGTGCAGCAGCAGCAGCAGCAACAACAACAGCAGCAAATGCAACTTCAGGCCACAGCACAGACGGCACATCTCGTGCAGACCCGTGTGGTCCCACAGCAGACGCAAAATGTGGTCTACCAGCAGTTGCAAGTGCAGAAGGTGCCACAGCAGCAACAGACGCAACAACAACAGCAGCAACAGCAAGTGGTGCACACACAGCAGCCCCAACTGGTTGCCACATCGCAAGGAGGAGGCACACTCGTGCGGGCCGCCTTTCGTGGGAAAACCGCAAGAGGAGGAGCCGTTCTCACGCGCACAATGATTGCCACAAGTGGTGGACGACCCACGCTCAGTCCCACGACAATTGTGCGTCACGTGCGGCCCAGAGGTGCCGCCGGAACCGTCCAAGGCGGGATCGTAAGGAATATGCGTCCGCCGGGGGCACGGCCAGCGCGAGCCCAACTGGTGGTGCAAACCAGCTCTCCGGAGGGAAGCCAGACGATGCAGATCGTGACCCAGACGCAGATGACGAAGCATATAACCATTAGCGCGAATCTCGGCCAGCCGACGGTCCCAGGACAGCAGCTCCAGCAACGGCAAGTGTATCGCACCCACATGATCACCGACGGGAGCCAGCCACAGCATCAACAGCAACAGCAGCAACACCAACAGATGCTGATGATGCGGCAGTCGTCGCTGCGCTATCGGGCGCCCGTCTCCCTCACTTCGGCTGTGGCGGCGCCCGTTCCAGCCGCTGTTATAGCCACACCCGCGGCAGCAACCACGAGCAGCATGGGGATAGATATGGAGGAGCGCATCCAAGCGGCAGTGCTGAAGAAGGAGCAACAGAAGCCGCCCGCCAATCAGATGCCCATACAGCTGGCGCAGGGCACCAGCCTGACGACCTACTATCCAGGAGCCACCACGGCACAGGTCACCACGGAAGAGGAGCAACAGCAGCAACAGCAACAACAGTTGCAACAACAGCAGCAGCAGCATCAACAGCAGTTGCAGCAGCAACAATTGCAACAGCAGCAGCAGGTCCAGGCAGTGCGCACGGCGAGTGGAGCGAGCATGTCGCTGGCAGAGTTTAAGAAGCGCCAGACGATGACAGTGTCAACGGCCATACCCACATCCTTGGCGACTACTGGAGGCCTGACGCCCTTGAGGCCCATGACACCGGGAACTCTGGTGCGGGCCGCACCGAAGCTGATAGCCACGCAGTCGCCCACAGGAGGAGTCCTGCCGATTGGAACACGCATTATGCAGCCGCAAAGAGCTATAGCGCCACCGCCACCGACAGCGCCAGCCGCTGTCCCTGTAGTGCCACCACCCGCACCAGCAATTGCAGCACCATCTGCCTCCGTCGTGGACCCTGGCGATTCGCAATCCTCCTCGCAGTCCGGCTCATCCGTGCAGCAGACGTCGCACAACAATTATGAGATTCACTCGCAGCATGTGCTCAACAATCGGGCGGGTCAGGCGATACCCGAGAGGGATCGGAACAGCGCCAAGATGCTTGTGATACTCGCATCGGGCGAGCAGCGACTGATCACCTTCACCCTGCCCCGGGAGTCGTGTACGGTGCAAGATCTGTTGGAGCAGGTCAGCGTGCCGTTCGACAACACCACAACGATCCAGTGCGTCGAGCATCGCGGCGCCAATGTGGATTTTGTGGTAACTGTGGGCTTTTCCGTCAACGAATCTGCCAGCGAACTCATATCCCGAGCGGAGGAGAGTCTACAGATGAATCGCCAGCAAGAGAATGCCACCGCCAGTGCGGCACCAACGCAGCCCGCGCCCACAACTACAACAGCGTCGCCGGCGTACACCCAGGCCAATGCGGCGGCAGAACAGGCCAAGAGAGAGGCGGCCAGTGCAGCGGCACCGAATGGGGGCACCACCAACGGCACAGCCACGGGAGCAGGTGTCGTGTCGGTTGCCACCGAAGGACGCAAACTGATCGACGGCTACTATGCTGTGTGCAAGCAGTGCGGCTTCACGGGCATGGATCATGCCAAATGCGAGCGCTGCAAGCGCGTCTTTCTGGAGCCACCCAAACGCAAGTCTTACCTCACCAAGTCGAATGCCACCTCCTCCCCGGCATCATCCACCTCCAGCGAGACGGCCACGCCGGCGGAGAAACGGGAGCTGGCAGCGGCCGCACGTTACAACAAACAGATGAGCGGCGTGTCCTTTCCAACGGGTGCCAGAGGACGCGGTGGAATGGCCGCATTGCGGGGTCGAGCCCGTGGCGGCAGACGAGCGCCCGAGGCGGAACCTGTGGTATTGCTGAGCAGTGAAGATGAGGCGGACGGAGATGATACCACTGTCGATGGCAGTGCTAGTGTAAGTGTCAGCTACCTTTGTCTTAGATTTGCCTGCCATAACACTTTTTTCCTCATTTTGCAGCTGCCATCCCTGCACTCGAGCCACTACAGCCATTTCATGAATGGAAAAGTTCCTCTGCCCGCCGTGTCCTTTGCCTGCGAGTCCCTGCTGCCCGAGGTGGACGAAGTACCGCTGTACAGAGGTATGACCCTAATAATAATGTGCTATAAGCAAATAATTAGTATTGGGAGCGCATTTTCCGCCGCCTCGCATTCGTTTGTGGTGGTGTACATGCAGAGCAATGTTTGTTGTTTTTGTTTATGTAGTGTTTGTGTGTGTCGAAATTTCGTGCTGGCAATGCCATCGCACTATTTTTAGTTCTGTTATGTACCGCCAGGGGCGCTGCGCAGAGCGACACGCCATTTTCTGTGTCGGGTGTGAGAAAAAAAAGAGTAGGAGAAGAAGAAGCGAATGCGTGAAAACACATCGTTCTCCACAATTCTATAGCAATTTTTGTGAAATTGCTGGAAAAGTGTCGTTTCAATATAGTTTACTTCAAAATAACTGATTTCTTGACACGCCGCACTCTGCGCAATACGTGCAACCATGAATGACGAAGGTAATTACACAAATTGTGGGGAGAACGTGTGCGCAGGCATGAAATGAAAAAAAATGTGGCTTTACGATAGCAGAAGCACATGTGAAAAAGGGCAATAAATTAATGCTAAAATTAACATTTTCTCTTGCAGATTTTGTGCGCGGCGATGTTATGGACTTGACGGATGTGCCCGAGAGTGAACAATTCTCCACACCGATCACCTGTAGCTGTGTGCGTCTGATGCCCTATCGCTTCGATACAATTGAGCCGGTATGTGCCATGCACCCCTTCCCTCCCCTGTCTCGCGCAATGCATGAAATTTGTGGTCATATTTTTGTTGTTGTTCCAGGTCACATTCACTTCGAAGGGAATACGCATAAATGGCATACTGCAGGACGTGGACAAGAAGTTCACGCTAAACATCTACAAGCACGAGGTGATCAAGGTTATTGCACATTTCGGGAGCGCTGAGCAACCACAGACGCTTCTTACGCTCTACTTGCTCAAGACATGCGCACTGTATGTGAAAGCGCAGCTCTGTCTGCCCGATGATCAACCAAATGAACGTGAGTTACAGATTTTTGTACCCCTGCCCTGACTTGAATTCCATCTAACGAGATATATTCCGTTTCTTTGCCCCCCCCCGCAGAGACTGGCTTCAAGTCACAAACCTCGTTCCACACACGACGGCTCGTTCTGCTGTTCGATAGCATCTCCCTCACCGCCCGTGAGACCATCAAGACAATGTTCAGCTGCGTGGACGAGATCTCAGCCATAGATGCGGCCGATATATTCGATCGAATTGCCGACTCCGATCGCAAGGCATTGGACAAGTCCACACAGCCGGTGGTGCGGCAGCTACGTGCCGATGAGCAGGTAAATCTGCTGATGTATCCGCCCAGAGGCACGGGCAGCCTTTGCATACGCATGGAGGACTTTGTGTGCCTGACGAAGGAGTCCTACCTAAACGACATCATCATTGACTTTTACCTGTTGTGGCTGCGCAACACACTGATACCGGAGGCAACGCGAGAGCGTACGCATGTCTTTAGCACGTTCTTTTATAAGCGACTGACGACGCTGACGCGTCCCACCGACATGCGCCAGACAGCGGCCCAAAAGCGGCATGCCAGGGTCCAAAAATGGACCAAAGTTGTGGACATATTCGACAAGGACTTTATCATTGTGCCCATCAACGAGCAGTCGCATTGGTTCCTCGCCATCATCTGTTTCCCGAACCTCAAGGGCCCCGTCACCTACGACACCAATCAGCCCGTTGAGCCGCAGCACCTGAAGCGTGCGCGCGGCAAGAAGGTCTCCCTGCAGATTGGTAACACCACCATCACACCGTTGACAAAGAGGGGCGAGGGTGGAGCCCTGCCAGCGGCACTCAACTCGGAGATCTGCCGCCTAGGCGACGACGGCGAGAGTGAGCGTGACGAGGCCGAGGGCGATGACAGCGACATGGCCTCCGAGGACAGTGATAACTCGAATTCGGGCAAGGAACCAACTCCCTCCAAGGAACCACCGGTAGCCACACCCACGCCACAGGTTAGCAGCGGCCCAGCCAGGATTTGCGGTGCGGAAGAGGTGCCGGCGGTAAAGCAGCCCCTGATCCTCATCTTTGACTCGTTGGCCGGGGCATCGCGCAGTCGCGTGGTGGCCACGCTGCGGGATTACCTGACCTGCGAGTACAGGATCAAGAAGCCGGATGCGCAGGCGCACGTCTTCAACAAGGATAACATGCCCGGACACTGCGTCAAAGTGCCGCAACAGAACAACTTCACCGACTGCGGCCTCTATCTGCTGCAGTACGTCGAGCAGTTCTTTGCTGAGCCCATCAGAGACTACAGACTGCCCATCAAGCAGCTGACGAACTGGTTCGACTTCCTCACCGTCACCAAGAAGCGCGAGGACATTGCCAATCTCATCCAGAAGCTGATGGACGATACAAACAACCAACAGCGCCTGATCCTGCCGGTCATCGAGTTCCCCACCCTCAATGGCCAGCTGGTGGAGTATCCCGAGGAGACTGAGAGTGCCGAATTTGAGGAGGAGGAGGGTCACGAGGATGAGGAGCCCAATAGCGAAAGTGTAAGCACCCAGAAATTACATCAAAATGTAAGAAAATGTATCCTAATCTTGTATCATTCTCGCGCCCCATTAGCATGAGGAAAACAATGCGGTTTCTGAAATGGAAGTGGATCCCGTGGGCGATGATCTGCCCGTGGGCAAAACCACCACCGCAGTAGTCGTTAGCACCACCGCCACGACCGTGAACAGTGGCGTGACAATAGCAACGGCCAAGACCAAGCGATTCGTGCTGAAGCGTCCCCTGCAGAACGGCCTGGGCACCACTCTGACGAGCAATGGCAATGGAGAGATTCACAATGGGACTATAATGCTGCCACAGCTGGTGAGCACTACGACGGCGAGTGGAGCGCTTGGCGGAGCAGGGGCACACCTAGCGCAACGTGCCTGCAGCGGCAGCCTTAAGATACGCAAGATCGAGCCTTAGCATCGGGAGGATGTGCAACGCATCGAACTGCCGCCCGCCCCGCCGCGTATGATGCGGCTGATGTTGCCACAGCTGCAGCAGCAGCAGCACCAGCACCATTTGTAAATAAATATAAACATCGTAAAATAATTATCGTAATTCTCTTAATATGTACGAGCATCATTTGAGCCAACAACATTACTGTCGCCACTAAATGAAAGAAAAATGCAAAAATCGTTTAATAAAGACTACATTCGTATGTATAAAATACACCAGAAAGGAAACAATTGTATGTCTGTCCAGTTGTTCGTCCGTTGATTTATTCGTCTGGCAGCAGACGCAGGGGAGGCTTTCTAATACATCCACCCGACACGCGTCGCACACACTGCCACCCGCACCCGGACCGCCCTTGCTCAAACCAGTTTCGTGGCGGCGGCATGCCATGTAGCCTAGAACCGTCATGTAGTTGGCGGGGGATATACATGGTGAGACTCCCCGAGGCAGGGCGGTGGATCTGATTAAATGACTGATAAATTTGGCCCATGGCCGATCCTCGGCAGTGGGTGGAGTTTTATCTCCAATCCAACACCCATTGTTCGTTCGTGTCGCTGGAGTTTCTTTGATTAATGTGTAATTGACGGCCCTTCACAGCGCCCCGCGATACTTACCATGTAGTTACTCTAGAATACATGGCAGGCTACATGGCACGCGTACACACACCAACGCATGTCGACCCACATGAATGTGCATGCACACACACAGTCACACAATGATACATGATGCCATGTAGCTGAACAGGCTGAAAAGTAAGGTTATATTCACAGCTGGTTGTGGAGTAGGAGGGATGGTGAGAGGGTGAATTACAGTCGAAGAGGAGTGAGGAAGAACGGAATGGCAAGCGAAAAGGAAATTGGAGATATACGTATCGATGAATCGATTAGAGATGATGATATGGAAAAAGTTAAAATGTTGAATGCAGACATGGATCGGTTTTCATATTAATTATTTTAATTGTTCAAGAATTAAAGGAAATTATTTTCAGTAAAATTACTCAAATTCATGGATAATAATCCACAGATAGCCCGTTTAATTATGCTTAAATATCTCTATATCCACATGACCTGTCAGCTTAATTTGAATTCAGAATAATTTTAGGTTTGCAACAGCTGAATACATTTGAATGTTGTGTTTTGGGCACATTTTATATACATATTTACATCTCTCTGTATTATTCTGTTCAAAAGCGCGTAGGCCATCCCTATGCAAACGATAGGATCGGTCTGCCCTCGATAGGTATACAACTCTACGCCTCCACGAAAATTGTAGCAGCAATAAGAAGAAGCAAGCAGGCAGCAGTTGTAGCTAGAGTCAAACGATTGATAGTTGAACCATCGTTAGTTCTGAATGTTTTGAAAAAAAAAACAAACAACTATCGTAATAGTATCGGGCTCAAATAATTATTAAAAAACCATTGAAACCTTTTAGGAACTTGTCCATTGTAAAAATTAGATGCGACCTGTCGATTTGTCTACAAATTTGTCTTCGTATTTTAGAGCAGCCAATCCAAACATATCAATAGCGCAACAACTGTAGCTCGATACTATCATGATAGTCGCAAAACCGTCGATAGTAGCTGATAGCAGCAAAACATTGATACTATCGATAGTGCCCTCGATGGTTTGACACCACTAGTTGTAGCGCAAAAGAGAAAAATAGAAATTATTTGCGCCGCCTTCGGCCCACTGCAAATCGAATCAACGGGATTGAAAAATGTTAGCAAATATACTTTACTGTTCCAGTGCGTGTGCTTGTGTGCGATGTGTGTGTGCGTGTGCAGCTGCAGCTGTTGGGCAAATAATTAATAATTAAATGTAGATGGAGCACCTCTCTTGGCCTGTGTGTGCGAGTGTGTGTGTGTTTGAAAAAAGAAATTGGTGGAATTCGGCAGAGGGAGCAGGCAGCGAATGGGCGTCTCTAAAGTTAAATGACATTTTCGCACGTAACCTGCAGCGTTTGGGAAAAATATATATACATGTATTAATAAAAATAAATACACACTGGCCAGCATGCAAAACGCAGAAAAAGGCGCACCAGGCGCCGTCGTCGTCATCCCCCGCGCGCATGCCCGGAAAACGAATCGAAGTTGGAAATCCCTGCTGCTCGCATACCCCAGTATTGTGGCTAAAACGTCCGAGAGCTTCGTGAAATTAACAGCCTGAAAAACTGCGTGCAGCCATGTAAATTACATATTAATTAAAATAAAAAGAGTGCAGGCAGCGGCAGGAGAAACAGCAGGCGGAATAGTGACGATAGGAAGAGAGACGGCATACGAACGTGAAAAAGTGAGCGGCGCCGCTATTCGAGTGCAGCACACTCACCGTCTCACTCTGGCCTACGCAATCGTCGCTTCTTGGCTGTCTGTTTTGGTTTTCTCTTCTTGAAAATAAGCGCGCGAAAGGGTGCTCGTGTACTTTCTTTTGACCTACCACCCGACCCGCCCGCTCTCCCATAATTCGCGTGTGTGTGTGGGTGTATCGCAATGCATGATAAGTGATAAAGCCAGATGTTTGTGCATATATCTTGTAACTGTAACAACAGCAGCAGGCGCCGCAGCAAACAACGGCGCACGCACACACATGTTGCACACATTTATGTATATTTATACCCTATGCAGAGATAGTATGATGGTTTTGAAACGAACTTAAAGACTTCAAAGCGGAAGATGGAAATATCTAATATCTGTGACTTCATAGAGTAGAAATTGTATGCAAAGTAGACTGGAAAAAAGTTTATAAAAATCAATGACCATAAATTAACACAACCATAACGTTATCTCTCCGTAGGGTATCAACTCTTCGGCACCCGAAGTTTTCTTTACCGTTTCGTAGCTCTTTCTCCTTTGTTGCAACCTGAAACTAATTTGTTAACGCATCGATACGTTTGTTTTTTCTTGTTATCCATTCCCGCTAAATAAATCCATAGCCTGCCCGAATCGAGTAACCAAAGAGCTTCACATCAGAGGCCCTCGAGGGATTTATTTTAGTTATTTAAACATCTCGCAGTGAAGCAACGTTTCTAATAAGCAAGCATATATAAATGGTTTCTACTTTCATCGGCCTATTGGGTGAGTCCTACAGATTATGCACACATATATGATTGGAACACGCTGTAATAATTATTTCATTCTCCTGCAGACATTCAATCATGGTGGGAGATACCGTGTATTTCGCATTTCTGTTCATTGTTTAGTTCCGCCTTCGAATTACCCGATATAGACATCGAGGTAAGTGCTTGGATATATATCCCATATTTCAACATATCTAATACGACATATAAATGTTTGTAGGATCTTGAATCGGCGCTGCTCTCCGATGGTACCAGCGACGAGGATCAGGTTGCCCTAGTGCCCGAATTGATTGTGCGCCTCCTCAAGGGCTGCGATGCGCTCCAATCGGTAGCCAAGGAGATCACACACAGCAACTATCAGATGTTCTTGCGCCGCCTGTTGCGCCAACAGTGTCGTCTGCATCAAACAGAGAATCCCTTCGACACGGACATTGACTTTCAATCGCTGCCACCGCGCAAGCGCCTCCACATTCTGCACGCTCTGTGCCACTTTCGTCTGGAATCTGCCGATGTGCAGGTCATACTCAGCAATCTAGAGGCGGACAGCCTGCGCGTAGAGCCACTCGGCCACGACGCCAAAAATTCCGGATATTGGTATTTCTACGGCACTCGTTTGTATCGCGAGGACAAGGCCGTTGGCGGGGCCGCCGCAGCAGCAGCAGCAGCCGCAGCATCGGCTGGCGGTGCAGGCAGCAACTGCAATACCGTGTGGCAGGTTATCTGCTTCACCGAGGAGGACTGGCAGAACTTGGCGGCCAAATTCAAGACCTCAAAGAATGCCAAAGAGCGTGAACTCTTCCAAATACTCAACAAGAACTTTCTGCCCAAGCTGCCGCAGCTTTTCCGCGAGCGTGAACGTCTAAGGAGGAGAAAGTGAGTGCCAAAACCAAGATATATCCTTTAGAAATTGATTCTAAAAATGATTCTTGAATTTTATATTCAGACTCCTGCAAGTACGAAACTCGAGTCGCATTCGCAGCATCGCTGAGCTGAAGGCTCGCCAGGAGGAGGAGCGTCTGGAGAGGGAGCGCGAAATCGAACGGGAACGCCAGCGCGAGCAGAGAGAGCGAGAGTACAGAGAGCGCCAGAACGCACAGTGGGTGGCACCGTCATCACAGAACCAGAACCAGCGCACACGCAGACGGTTAGAACGCCCAGTATTATAAAGAAACAGAAGAAGCCTGGAGGACACGCACCAGAAACAGCAAACATCCAAAACATTATCTCTCTCATCTTTGATTTCGTTAATTGATCGTTGAGTTGCCTTTAATTTTCATTTTGTTAAGAAAATTATACGTTTTGCAATCAGAATTCATTCAAAACCATCCACATCTACGCGCTAGCCAACGGAAGACGACCCCGCAGAGGATGACAAGAGCAAGGATCAGCACTTAATTTGAGTTTTGCCCATCATTTAGTTTTGTATGTGGGAGATTTAATTGGAATTCCTTTTCAAAATACACTCTGTAAGCATGCTTTTTGATCTAATTATGATTTAAGTTAAGTTTTAGACCCATTTTTAAACACCATAACGCCATAAAGCCATAATCCAATAATCATGAGTGTAAAAACTAATCACCGAATCGATATTTAAGAGAGAATATCCTTCTAAACTGCTACTAAAATATGAATTTTCCCTATGTTTGCTCCTCTTCCCATTTAGCTCTCAATCAACATCGACGGCCAGCGGTATTTCCACATACGCAAGCTCCTTTCGACGTACCACAACCACTAATTCGAGCGAATTTCTGTGCCACAGGGAAACCTTCTGCCTCTCGCCAGAAAGTGACGAAGACACCGACACCGAAGAGGAGGAGGAAGAGGACGACGACGACGCCAAAACCAACGAAGCGGAACAGTCTTCGTCGCCAACAGAACAGCAAGAGCAGGAGAATCAATTAATTGCTGCATCAGCAACAGCCGACACAGATTTCCGAACGCCTCAAACACCGCCGCCGTCAGAATCGCAAACGCCAGCAGAATCAAAGAGCAAGGGCCATCATCACCACCACCACCATCATCATCACCATCACCACAAGAAGAAAAAGTCGGGCAAGAAGCAAAAGAAGCGTTCGCGGGAGCATCGTCACCATCGGAGGCGTCACAAGCATGCCTCAGAGGCAGAGGCAGACCAAGAAGACGACAACAACAACCAGCAGCAGCAGAGCGAGAACAGCAGCAGCAGCAACAGTGTGTCGCATAAGCGACGTCGTCGTCAGCAGCAGCAGCTACAACAGCAGCAAAGGGAACAGCGCACAGACGCTTCAGAAGAGCGACTGCATGCCCCATCTCTGAGTCCCGAGGACAAGGAGAACTTTTGTCGGCAGCTTCAGCTTTTGGACTCGAATTCGGCGGCCATTGCAGTGGCCACAAGCATAGCAGACCTGAGCATACCCTCGCCAGTGGCACATGAGAGCGACGCGGAGCAGCAGGAGGCGCAACCGCAGCATCAGCAGCAACCAGCAGAGCCCCCAGCTCGACCACGACAGTCGACGGCCGCTGCAAAGCGCGCACAACGGCAAATGGCGCCGGCGGCGAATGTAAAGCTGCCAGGCCGGCAAACCAACAATTCGCTCAGTTCGCTGACAGGCAACATTTTCATACCAGGCAGCGGTACAACACCACAACAACAGCAGCAGCAGCCGCAATCGCAGCAGCAACAACATCAGCAATCGCAGAGCAGCAGCAGCAACAGCAGCGGGTCCGGCGCCTCGGGATCTGCCAGCACTGTGCGCTCGAAGAAACAAAAGGCCGTGCTGAATAGCTCGACCGACAAAGAGACGACGGGCAACAAGAGCAAGAAGTCAATACCTTCATCGGCCTCATCATCGTCCAGCAAGGCGGAGCGGCACAGTGGTGCCTTCTCGGACAAGAGTGGCGATGAGTAAGTGATGAGCACCACGCAGTGGAGTGGAGTGGAGTCCCCACCATACGCCCCACCACACGAAGATCCTACTAATTTTAGAGCATAAGCGTATCATTTAATTCAAGCTTAATGCTGTTACTTAATGCTAGACATGGGGATTATGTGGGGACTCTGGCCCCCCCTCCATAATGCTGCTTTCATTATCTTTATTTCATTTTGGTTTTGGATTGTAAAATTCTTAAGTATTTAGTATTTATTTAGTTCCATTGTCAGCACCTTTACATATGACAATATTAGCGTATCCTTTCACTTATGGAACAAATGCACATCCGACTGGCAATTCATTTGCTGTTCCTGCACAAATTGTATCCTTTCGCTTATGGGAATTTTCAGTTAATGGGCCCAAAATCGCTTGCATGTTGTATATTTTCTTTTGTTGGTACTCCTTTCATTATGTAATAAAATACTCACCCATCAAATTGTATATAATGTGATCTCAATTGATTAACATATATTTATCATTCGTTTGTTGTAAACTTTTGTACCTACCTCAACCACTGAACCACCACCAACAACAACAACAACAACATTCCGACTGTTCATCACAAAACCAACCAAAAAACAAAATGTACGATAAATGTAGCCATGTAAATAGTAGCAAACGTAGCACTACCAAAACCACCATCACAGCCACCACCACCACCAACAACAACAACAACAATAGCAGCAGCCTTAACAACAACAATCATAAGCAGCACCACAATCATAATGGAAAGAATAATAACCACTCGACGGCGTCAGGAGGAGTAGGAGTAGGAGCATCGTATGGAACCCATAATAACCAACAGAATAACAATCACACAAACACAACCACCACAACCTCCTCTGTTACATCCCACTATCAGTACCCGTACCAACCTACAACCACTAATCATAGTAATAAACATAAATCCAAGACGCACCACCACCACAACCACCACTCCCTAACAACACATCCATTCACCTCAATCACAAACCACACAACAAAATCAAACAACAATTCAACGTACAACCCCTCCAATCATGCGAATATTCTTAGCTTCACCGAAACGGAGGAAGTGCTACAAATTGGAATGCACAAGGTGCTCGTCTATGTGAAGAATCATCGGGATGCTTGGCCATTTATGGATCCCGTTGAGGAGGATATAGCACCGCGATATTATTCCATTATTAGGAGGTGAGTGAAACAACATTGTATATATGTGTTTTGGTACCCCTTTTAAATACCTCATTTTTGCAGACCCATGGATCTACTGAAAATGGAGGATAAACTGGACAGCGGAGAGTATCACAAATTTGGTGAATTTCGTAATGATTTTCGCTTGATTGTCAACAATTGTCGGCTGTACAATGGTCACAATAATGGTAGAGCCCTCCCATCCCTCGATAGAATATCCTTAATAATTTTCATTTAATAATTGTTTTACTCCTTTTTAGAATACACGGAAATGGTGAACAATCTGCAGGATGCCTTTGAGAAGGCCACCAAAAAGTACTTTGACAATCTGTCGGACGACGAGGATGATGACCCGAATTTAAGTTATCCTGCTGCCGATTCCAAAATGAATGTTTTCCGCGAAAAGTACTTCAGCAAGAAGGCCAAGGAAGAGGAGGGCAAGGATGCGGCTGGGAATGCTTTACGTCCGGATAGCAGCGCCGATGAAGAGGAGCCGCTCAGTGCCATGGAAGAGCCATTGGCGGAGGCGGCAGCATTAGCAGCGGCCACTGCACAGAGGGCCCAAAAGCGCAAGCGCAAGGAGAAGGATAAGCGGCGTAAAAAGAAGACCAAAACCAAGGCGGATCGCAGCGGTGGGCATCAGGAGGACATGGACACGGACGAGGAGGAGTTTGAGCCCGAAAAAGAAGCAACGCCGCCTCCGCCGCCGCCACCAGCACCACCTCCAGCCACCTCCAAAAAAAGCAAAGCTGGCAAAGTAATCAAAGAAAAGGAGAAGGAAAAGGAAGAAAGAAAAGGAGCCTCCAGTTGCCGTCAAACGCGGACGAAAGGGCAAAGGCGAGAAGGCCACAGCAAAGGCGGGCGGCAAAACACAGCAAAAGACCAAAAAGGGTGGCAAAAAGTCCGCACCCGAAACGGAGTCGGACCTAAGCGATCCTCGCGAGGACGAGGACTCCAGCGATGACGAGCAGTTGGCCTTGGCCAAGGCCAAGTCTCTGATGAAGCCCTCCGCCCGCACGATAGCGGCCCAAAAGAAGAAATCCGTGCCGGCCGAATCAAAAGTGAAGACACCGACGCCCGTGAAGCGTCCGGTGAAGGGCAAGAAGTGCGGCAGAAAGGCCGCCAAGGCAGAGGAAGAGACGACGGAGCTGGATAGCGATCATTCGGATGTGGATGTTAAGAAGCAGCTTCTGCCACCCACTGCAGCTGCAGCTCTCGCAGAGTCCGCCGCAGAGTTGGAGGAGGATGAGGATGATGACGACAACGAGGCCGATGAGGATGAGGATGGATCGCGTTCGCGTAGCATGTCACCCTTTAAGGTTGATCTCCACAAGAAATACTCAAAAAGTGCCCTTAACGATGATCTCTCCGAGCTGCTGACGACGGTGAAAAAGGTACCCACCGCAGAGACCACGAAACTCAGTGCAAAGCACGAGGACGAGGACAAGGATGAGGAGGAGCAGCACAACACCCGTCGCGTGTCCCTAAGCAGCAGTCGTTCGAGCTCCACAGAACGTCGTGCCTCGCCAGTCGCCACCAAGCGAGGGAAGAAGGCAGCGGGAGAGAGCTCCTCGCCATCCAAAAAGGAGAAGGAAAAGGAGAAAAAGAGCAAGGAAAAGGATAAGGAAAAGGATAAAGATAAAGGACGAAGTGGGAAACACAAGAAGGCAAGCAAAGAAGAGTCTGCCGCTGCTGCTGCTGCCGCTGCAGAGCAGGCGGAACTGGAGATGCTCCTACCTTTTATGGACAAGTACGATGTGATCAAGTATCGACGCAGTCGCGCGGCTCAAAGTGGTTCCTCCGCCTCCAATTCGATTGCTCCATCCGAGGACTCCAAATCGGCCAGCACCAAGGGCAGTCGCGAGAGCAAGAAGGCCGCCTCCAAGCGCGAAAAGTCACCAGAGCCGCCAGTGGAGCACAAACGTGGCCGAAAGAGCAAAGAGCAGAAGCGTTCGAAGGACGCCGAGAAGCTGGAGAAAACCGAGAAATCGGAGAAAACCTCGTCGAAGCCTGCCAAGGTAGAGGCGGAAAAGCATCCGGAAAAGTCGAAGAAAGCGGAGATACCAAAAACCACAGTGGAGAAACCACCCAAAGAGAAGTCCCCAGCTCCGGCAAAAGCGTCGACAGTTTCTGTAAAGCCTTCAACCTCCAAAGCGTCGGCTGTAAAGGTGTCGCCCCCAAAGGCGGCAGCTTCTAAGGCATCTCCGATCAAACCAACAGCCACGGCGACCAAATCTGAGGCAACAAAAGAGCCTCCTGCCTCCAGCACGGCTTCTGCAGCTTCTACAGCTGTTGCTACTGCTGCTGCTGCTGCTGCTCCAAGCAGCTGCAAAGTGAAGGAAACACCAGCAAAAGCAGCGGCCAAGAAGCGTGCGGCCAAGGAAATGCCGCCACCACCAAAGCCTGCAGAGAAATCCGGAGATAAGGGAGCCAAGAAGGGTGCCAACAAAAAGGGAGCCCAGAAGGGCGGCGGATCAACGACAAACAGCACCACGAACCTCGAAGCCCTCGATGTGGAAACAGAGCAGACCCTCAAGGACATCAATAGATGGCTGGAGCACACGCCACGCTTCACGGAATTCAGTTCCGCCAGCAATTCCCCCAACTCACGATACAATCTCCTGGACGACTTTGACTCGGCTCTGGGTGGCAGCAAACTGGAGGCAGCGGACTTTCGGCGACCGGTGGCCCTAGCGGCGCCCAAAGTCGAGCTGGTCCCCAACAAATTGGCCGAAGCGTTGAACGAACTGGTGACCGATGGTCCCCCCAAGGAGGGGGGGCCCAAATCCGAAGCGGAATCGGCAGCACCCACGGCCAGCAGTGTGAGCAGCAGCTGTGGCACACCGCCGCATTCAATGCACTCGAGCAACTCCATTGGCAGCACCTCAGCGACGGCGGCCTCCAGTTCCAATTGCTCCAACACCTCGATGCCCACACCCTTGCCGGTGGCAGTGACGCCCACACCAACGACGCCTACTCCACCTCCAGTACTGCCGGTAATTTCGAAGCCCAAGGAGCCTTCGACCACGCAGTTGCTGTTGAATCCCCCGCCGCCGCCACACGTGAAGCAGCAGTTGGCCAAGGAGGCCAAGCGGAAGAGCCTCAAGGAGAAGCAGGCGGCCACGGCACAGGCGCAGCAGGTGAAGGCCAAGGGGAATGTGATGCGTACGATTGAACGGCTGCAGCCGGGCAAGGCCAAGGGCAATCTCATCCAGAATGTGGCTGCCGGGAAGGCAGAGGAGAGCGCAGACACCACACTCAATCAGGTGGCCACCAAGACCAAGGAACTGAAGAATGCCCTCATCACGGAGACCACCGATGGGGCACCGAAACTGAGTCTGGGAACTGTGATCAAAACTCAAGATTTTACGCTGGGCAAGACGTTCGACGAGCTGGCGGGCTCGGGGACGGGAAAGAAGACAACGGATGAGGCCGACAGCAGCCCCACCGAGGAGAATAAATCGGATGAGTCGTCGGTGAGTCCCAAGACCGGCAGCAAGGATCTGGCGCCCAAACCTTTTGAGGCTCTCCTAGAGCTGAGCAAACTGGCCAAGGGATCCTCAGAAGCATCCGCCAAGGCAGCGGAGGCGGCCGGGCAGAAGGAGAAGCCGAATCTGAGCGCCTGGCTGAAGGCCTTTGGCGGTCCGAAGGTGAGCAAAAAGTCCGACGAAGAGGAGAAGCAGCATACGCCAGGATCAGGTGGAGATATGCCTGGGGAATCCAACAAGGTGGCGCCACCAGAGCACTCTCCCGCGGGTGATAACTTTTCGCTGCCCACGGTGATGCGTCAGCGAAAGCCCAGCACAGGAAGCACCAACTCGGAGAGGAGCTCCTTCAGCCAGGATCCCGACTCTCCGCGGATAGCCATCGATGAGCGCTACGGAGCGTATGCCGCGGGCTCGTACACCTCGCCGATAGGCGCCTCCCCGATTGGGGCCTCGCCAATTATGGTGTCGCCCAAGCCCAACGATGACATGGGGAAGCCGGCGTCGCCTTATCCCCTGAATGGTGCGATCAAGGTGGGCTTCTACCAGGACACCACCACCAAGAGCAGTCCCGACAAGAGCTGCAGTCCGCGGGAGATGAACTCCCCCTATCCGCAGTACTCGCAGCACATCTACTCCTCCGCCTCCTCGCCGAATGTGTCGACGCCGGATCTGAGCGGGACATCGCCGTATGGCGGCGGTAATAGCTACAATCCCTCGGGATCGGAGGCCTCCAAGACGCCAGCGTACTCGTCAACATCTCCGCTGCCGATCTACGATCAGTACAAGCAGCCACGCTCGCAGGAATCGGACTACAATTCCTCGATGAGTCCGAGCACCCCCAATCCCCATTCGCCCTACCAGCAGCCCCAGAGTTCGCCCTATACGACGCCCCAGCAGACGCAACCGTCGCCGTATCATGGCCAATCGCCGTACCACCAGCAGCAGCACTCACCATATCATCCGCAGGCGGGACAACAGCAGCAGGGCGGCTCACAATCCTCGCACAGTCCGGCTGCGCACCAGCAAGCGCACAGTCCGATGCAGGGCAGCGTGGGATCGCCCGCCTCCTCGGCAGCCACTCAGCCGCCAACGCCGCTGGCACAGTCTCCGGCAGAGCAACAACATTCGCCGTATCAACAGCCCGTGCTTTCGCCCTACCAGCAGCAGCAGCAACAACAGGTGGTGCAACCTCCTGTGATTGGTGTAGCACCTGCCGTACAGCCAACCACAAGCGCAGTGGCACCGACAGGTGAGTGCATGAATGGAGTTCATTGTGGGGAAAGTGGACTTAAATCTTTTTTTGCTTTTCTTTTTTAGCTCTGGGAAACAATGGCTATGGATCCGCCCTCGATGGCTACCAGCAGCAGCAAAGATCGTTGTATAATCCTGCAACTTTGATCAACCCTCTGCCCACTGCTGCGGCAGCTGTGTCGTCGGCGGCTTCTATTGCGAAGCCGAACAATGAATGGAGTCTGAATCGGAGTCTGTTGCCTCCGAGCATTACAAACAACGTTAATCAGCAGGCAACGCAACAGCAGCAGCAACAACAATTGCAGGGAGCGCCGCAGCAGCAGCAACAATTACAGGGCAACACTCAGCAATTGCAGACGACCGCGCAGCAACAGCAGCAACAATTGCAAGCAGCCTCGCAACAACAAGTCCTGGGACTGCAACAGCAAATGAAACCAAAATATCCAACCTACGCGCAATATCAATCCACTAATGCGGCAGCCAGTGCTGCAGCAGCTGCCGATGCAGTGGACACGCAACAGCAACAGCAGCAGCAACAACAGAAGATTGTTCCCCCAACTTATGGCAGCGACATGGCTACATTTATGCAGCAAATTCAGCAGCCGCCAAAGACAGAGACTCTCATCAATCCGTTGAAGAGACCCGGGGAGGAGTTGGGTATTTCAGCGGATTTCAGTGGAAATGCAGCAAATAAAATGCCGAAAATAGATGAAACAGCGTCACAGCAGCAGCAACAAACGTCGGCACAGATGCAACAGCAGCAACAACAGACGCCAGCACAGATGCAACAGCAGCAACAACAGACGCCAGCGCAGATGCAGCAGCAGCAACAACAGACACCACCACAGATGCAGCAACAGACTCCGCCTCAAATGCAACAGCAGACGCCACCACAGATGCAGCAGCAACAGCAGACGCCAGCACAGATGCAGCAACAGCAGACGCCATCACAGATGCAGCAGCAGCAAACGCCAGCACAAATGCCGCCACAGATGCAACAGCAGGTCCAGAACCATCCGCAATCTCTCTTGACCAAGCAGCAGCAAATGTTTAATAGCTTCCTGGGTTCCGTGACATTTGGCAAACCATTGGGCAACATTGCGCCAGACAAGGCCTTTGAGATGTACAATCGAGCGGCAGCCATGGGATTCCCAAAGGATTTTGGCAAGGACAACAGCTGCCAGCTGCAGCAGCAGCAACAACAGCAGCAGCAACAACAACAAGCAGCGCAACAGGCGAGCAGCAACAAGCAGCAGACGAATCAGCAACAAACGCAGCAGCCACACTTGACGCAGCTGCAGTCGCCGCATAATCAAAACTACCAGCAACAACAGCAGCAGCAGGCTCAAAAGCTGCCACTGCAACAACAGCAGCAGCAGCAGCACAACTACCAGCAACAACAGCAGTTGAATCACAATTATACGACACAGCACCAGCAGCAGGCGACGGCGGATAAACCACCAGCCACACAGGCCGCTGGGGCAGCCGTCAGCGATGCGAGCAACATGATGCACCTTCCCTCGACCGCGCACCAGCATCATCTCAGCCAGACGCACCATTTGGCGGCATACAATAAGCCCACGCCGCCACCACCGCAGACCTACAACAATCCACTGATGCACAGCCTTACAGAGTCGATGTTGGGCTATCCCGGAAACTATTTCGACAAGGCGATGCCGCCGGCGGCTCACATGTTCAGTGCATCGAGTGCGGCGGCCACAGCGTACGGTAATCCCGCACAGCAACTGCCTGGCAACTATGTGCCCGGCAGCAACAATCCCGCGCAACAACAGCAACAGCAGCATCAGGCTCCTGTGGCAGCGGCACCCGTGGAGGTCAAGGCACCGGCAAAGCGTGGCAGGAAGAAGAAGGCAGCTACCATTGCTGCGGAGGCAGCGGCTGCGGCAGCTAAACAGCAGCAGCAACAGGTGCAACAGCAACAAGTGCAGCAGCAGCAACAGGCGGCTGCCGCTCAGCAGGCGGCGCAGCAGCAAGCGCAACAACAGGCGGCGCAACAACATCAGCAGACAATGGCGCAATACAACATGCCACAGGCGACAGCAGCAACCGCCTCCTCGGCAACCAACAGTCAGCTGCAAGCGCACGCCCAGGTGCTACACCAGGGATTCCAGCTCTATGCAGGACTCAAATCGGGAGGCGTCTCCTCGCCGTCAGTCAGCGCTGCGGCTACTCCCACGGCTGGAGGAGCGAATGGCAGCAATCAAACGGCAGCAGATGCCGCTGCGATTTCCCTGAAGACCTCCACAGGTGGCATGGTTCCGGGCAGTGCCTTCAACTTTGCGCCCACACCCGCAGCACTCGGCCTCTATGGCGACCAGTCGGCAGCTGCGGCTGCCAGCAGCTACTTGGACCAGTTTCGCGATGCACCCAATCCCTACTACATGCCACCGGCTCCAGCGCACAGCGGAGCGGGAGCGAATGCGGCAGGGAATGGAGCGGACAAGACTCAGAATCCACTGAACACGGCAGCTGGATCGTATCCCTTCCTGGCGGCAGCACATCCTTCCACACGAGCGGCGGCCGCAGCGGCGGCATATCCCTTCGCGGATCCAAATTCTCAGCTCTATCAGCAGTATCTGCGACGCGATGACTTCCACACGCGGATGATCTTCAATCAGAGCCTGCTCGGGGGACCAGCGGCGGCGGCAGCAGCTGCCGGCTATGGCCAACCGCCACCTCCGCCGTCCGCCTATCGATCCGCGACGCTGGGCATGCCCAAGCCTTATGATATTAACAGGCAATCATGGTTTTAGCAGTACGCCAGTGCCGCCAACGTGGATCTCCAAGGGGACGACATAACGGGGGCGGCAACTGGATCAGCAACAGCGGCAGCAACGGCCACAGGAGCTGCCACATCAGCGGCAGCAGGAGCAACACAGCTATGAGATTGAGAAGAGATTTAACAGCATTGTAGAACGGTTTCAAAACAGGCAGTCAATTCATTGTGTGCTGCGAAAGAGGTCTGGGGCGTGATTGTTTCTAAATGATATTGTTTGATATTTAAGACTCGAATTCCACTGCCCAAAAAACCCTATGTACTGGATTTCATGATCCCCTATCTCTCCCCTGTCCATATCCTTTGTGCAATTTTTCCGTTTAGTTTTGACTACAGTTGCGCCCTGGACCGAATCGAATCGAACCCTTGACGAACCACGCCCCCCAATTAGCCAGTTAGTTGGTCTTTTAGTTAGTATTTAGTACTCGTTCTAAGCCTTTTCTTTATGACAATTAACTCGTACTAGGCGTAGCTCTAATTAGGCCTTTAATTTTATTTAATTGAACTTAATTGGTTTTAAATGCTTAACAAACAAAATGATAATGATGGCAGAACCAAGCGAGGAGGAGGAGGATTGAAATTCAAAGAATACCCCGACTATAATTAGTTTTTAGTTTATTTCCACAGAATTTACGATTAAACGTGTAAATTATAAATATTATTATTGATTACTTACGTACTACAATTACAATGACTATTATCGAAGCAGAAAGGAAGGATGATCTGATCGTGCAGCGTGCCGGCAATTTGTTGAAATATTTATTAATCCTAAAACTAAGAAAACAAAATGAAATGAACCGCAGAAGCAGCAGCAGCAGGCACACACCAGAACTACTATATATCTTAAAGGACACACATACACACACCCTTTTAGTTTGTAGAAAGCCAAGCAAAACATGTATAAAATTTTGTTAAATATGCTAAGTAACCCGTACGCTCTAAAGCCTACCGCCCGCCCCCCCCACAAATAAACCAATTCAAAACAGAGCTGCTCCCATCTAATATATTGTGTAACATTCCGCCACAAAAAAGGAAAGCCCTCAGCACTCATCCACCCCATCCAAACAACAAAACCAAAAACCCAATACTCTCGACCATTTTTGCTGTACATACAAAAGAAAAACTGGTAAAAACATTTCTCGTTTTTACCACATCTCAAAATTGTAGCTTTAAACGGTGTAAAAGAAAAACATTGATTGATTCGAAATTAGATGAAAAATTGATGGAAAATTTATGAAATATTGAAAAGTGTCTTAGTCGCTATTAAAAATTATAACGAAAACCGAGTGGGAAATCACAAGAAAAGTAAGAGCATAAAACCGAAAGAGCCCTTAATTATATGAATATAAAATATATATAGAATCGCCCCTCCCACTCCCCGTAATCGATTAAGTTGTTAAAGCTTTCGTTTTTCAAAGTTAAATTTTAAATTTTCATTATGGATACAAAAAATAGTTTATAAAAAAAAAAACAGCAACAAATCGAAGATTAAAGAAGAAGCGGAGAAGGAAAAGCGGTACCTAGAGCATAAAAGAGCAGAAACAAACATATTTAAAGAACCACATGCTAAAAAAATATTATATTAGTAATGAATAAATATATACATACATTATATATATACATATATATATTATATACTATATGCCGTACGTGCTGCAATGTGTGGCACAGTAAAATGCGAGTACATAAATCTAAATGTATGTATAAACAAACAACACACAGCAAACAAACACACAACAAAGGTAAATTACAATAAAGAATTCTATTGCATATTGTACGATGAAAAGGCGAAGAAACTTTTTAGACACATAAGTGAAGGCAACAATTTCGCTGATTTACGGAATAGTAATTATTATGCAATCTGAAAGCTCAATGCACGGCGGCACGCGTTCATTTGCATACAATTGTCGGGGAGTGCGGCAGAGTCCGTAGTCCGGACTCCGGTGCGGTGCCCTTCACCAGCTCTCCCTCTGGCATTTTCAATTCCCAGACACAGATTGCAGACAGACAACAGCTGCCAGCTGTGCTGTGCTGTGCTACAAGTGTAAGCACAAGTATTTATTATACGATATACATCTATCATCTGGTCAGGTCTTCTAGAACGAAGCACGATCTTGAAAACGAAACGTGTGGCTAATGCTTGGTGCCATTTACTAGAGGCCTCACTCGTGTGCTTTCGAATCGCTGAAAGCAATTGATCAGCCTTAATTATCATCTGCTACTAAAGTACTTGTAAAATGTACATATCATATATGTCTTGGCTTTCGCTTTAGATTCATTTAGAGCGAGATATTTAAAGAATCTCTGGCATGGAATGGACTTGGCGAAGGCAATAAAATACCTTTGCGGACAGAGAGCTAACTGGATGACGTGTTCCAAAACATGGGGTTAAGGAAAAACACCCAATTATATTTAATATGGTGCTAATTAAATATAAAAATTGTATAGCCAAAAACGCTGTGCGTGACTAACACTCGCCTGGGGACTGGTTCTAAACCTCTTCTTTGGTTCATATTGGGTTTTCCAGCAATTAATGGAGCTGCTATTACATTGGTTTTTCAACACCTATACGCTCGTATTATTACTCTATATTAAAGATAGTATTTGAGTCATGGCTCCAAGTGATTAATGACCTGACATTTGGCTTGTGGTACGCGAGTAAATGAAATTTTCATCCGGTTCTGGTTGCCAGCGATTGAGGTTTTTTATTTATAACAATTATTGTGCATGTTAATTGGTTTATTCACCAGCAGAGCACCAATATCCAATCGAAGGAAAGGAGCTTTAAAATATATGGAAATTAAAGCAAACACAACGCACCCAAAAAAAAAAAAACAAAAAAAAACCGGCACAAATATTTAAATTTAAATACGCATAATAAATTCGGTACAAATTTCCATTTAAAATTCGCTAATTAAATGCCGGCAGTTGCGTAACGATTGTTATATTTTAAGAAATTCTTTCAATGTTATTGACATGCAATCGATTTTGATTTGGAATTTCGGAATAACTTGTATTCTAATTGTCCAAATATAGGCGTGGCATTTAGCCTATCATTTTATATGCCGACTCTACGTAGTAGTCACGCCGCGATTTTCACCTGTTGTTCAGTGGCATGTGGCAGTGGCAGCATTCTAAAATAGCCTCCGGCTGTAGATTTATGTGTGGCAGTATTGCATAATTTACGAGCTCATTGGAAAAAAAGGCTAAACAAAAATAAAACAACGAATAATACATAATAATCATGAACGTAAAACAAAAAAAAAACTAAAAAATTAAAACTATATTGTGCGTCGTCGTTACGTTGCTGACCAAAAAGGTCATACAATTTATGCAGTTTTACTCGTAATTGTTGCTATGGCGTTAAGCCACTTCTATATTCCGATTCTACGATTATATACATAGTAGAAGTTCTCCAAGTTGTATAGTTTTCGCCACAAATATTGTTGCACACCACCACCACGCCAATGGGTGGGAATATTACTTTTAATTGGGTATATCAGCTGGCTGCAGGTGCTTGCTAGAATGGAAATTTCAATGATTACAATACGTATAATGCAATGCTTGCCTATAGTATCTTGTGTCTATATAACTGCTTGACCGAATGAATCTTTAGCTGGTAGAATCAATAGATATATGTATGGGGCTAGCTCGAATCTATTAATATATGCACTCAGAAATAATCCGCAAGATCAATTTCAACTGGTTAAATGAAAAAATCATAAGTTTCAGACCCAAGAAATAGTTTAAATGCTGAATCAGTAGCGAAAATAAAAGTGTTACATTAATTGGAAAAAGATTTGCACGTGCAAAAAGTCGCTTTTGGTGTTTGCTGGTGTCATATTTATATACATTTAATAGAAGTTAATTCCCCTGGGAATCGAACAAAACTCCCCCATTAAAATACGATTATTGGGCATAAAACTTCGCCTCTTCAGGAGTGCATTGTGCAATCACCATGCCAAATGAGGTTCTTGGGTGGCAATGTGTGCAATTATTATTGTATTACATTGGTGTAATAGGCACGTTAAAATTGACTTTTATTGATTTCGTGTGTAGTTAGCGGCTGTTGTAAATCAAGGAGAATGTGCCAATAACATGCAATCATACATCAGATTAGTCAGCCAGTCAGGCCAGCATTTGCTTATCCCAGACAGAGAGCATATGTTCATACATATTGTACTGCCTTTTACTTTCTAAATTTAAATTACACGCTGTGCACTGGCTCTCTGCCACTGCCTCGTGAGTGTCCGCCTCGCATTGCAGTTCAGATAATTTACAAGAATTTCTTTAGTTAGTCACTTTGACTTAGACTTCCGTTTATGAATCATTTTTGGCGGAGGGGGTGGGCTGGGAAGGGAAAGAAGTTATCTGGCCAATTAATGCAAACAAATCAAATTAAATCAAGCTTAAAAATAGCGCTCCCTTGGACCTGCCGCTGCGTTCATTGAACCTTTGTGTGTGTGTTTTTTCTTTCTTTTTTTCCAACGAATTTGCGGCCTTAGTTGTCAATATACAATATGGTATGAGTTTTTTGTGGTTGGGTTGCCATTAAGACAATGGCGAAGTTTTATGGCGGGTGCGGTTTGAACTTGGCCTTTGATTGAGCGATTATACAATATAGTGTAGATCTGTGCATAGCGCCCTGTCATCTGCAAGACTCTATTAAATAATGCTAGAGCAAGATCTTTGATTAATGGATCATTAGAAGAGGATTATTTATCAGTTTTGTAAATTTACATTTACAGTCATAAACGTCGCACATTATCTTCATATTTCAGAGCGTTCTGTAGCGTCGCGACGAGTCGCCTCTGTCGTTTCCGACAATATCAAAAGACTTAAGCAACGAACTCCACTTCCTGCACAAACCTCTCAAAAGTTCAATGGAATTTTTCGTCGCGCACACGCGTTTGCAAAAGTAAAGTGAAAAATTTAAATTTAGAATGCAATGGCATTTGATTAAGTATTGCATTACATAAATGAAAGCTCAATCCCCACACACATACACAAAATATCTGGATTCTCATGACACTCGCCTCTAATTAGCTGCCGCCACTTTTCACCCTCGTTAAGCATTGAAAGTATCTTAACTCAAAACGCTAAACATCATCTTGCCAGCGAGGCAGCCAGCAAAGCAGCTGTCCTAATGAAATTGTTACTAGTTTTTATGGGCAGCTGCTGCTGATCGACTGAATCGCAATTTATGTTAATGCTAAACACTAGAACTAACACCCCAGCCAGATATTAGAACCCACAGCCAATTGTGCCACCATCAACAGACCTTAGAAAGTACCCGACCTTCATTCGGTTCTAAGCCTAGCAATTGCCATAGAATTAAGACACATTTTTGGTCACAATTTCCATAAACTAATCCATAAACGGTAGCTTATCAATGGTATTCCAAAAAAAAAAACACTGGACGTTAAGTGGAGCATATTAAGCGGTTTATGCTAAATAGTCTGTGAAAACTGGTTGGACCGAGAGAAACCCAAAGAACAAATTTGTGAATTCATTCGCTTGTTGCCCAAAAAAAAATAAAAAAAACTATTGTAAAAATATATAGAACGTTTCCTAGGAAATAGATCTGCACAGAATTATGCAAATCATACTCAGTCGCAGAGCCATTGCTGATATCTTCTCTTGTGGTGGAACCGCAGCATTTCCTATTTAGAATTTTGATAAAAGAAAAATCCCCATGTAAATGACAAAAACAGACAAATTGTGGGATATATTTTATGAACACATTTCGAATATTGATCAAAGAAAAATTACCAAGTAACTTGGAAAAGTAGTTAGGTTTTTCTGCGGAAAGTAGTTGCATCAATCCAGAAGGGGATTGAGATGTATATGTGACGAATATTAAGCTAAAAAGACGCTGCGTACATATATCATTAGATATTCCCGTGCTTATTTAACAAACTTATCTTTGAATACACTCACTCACTTTTTGTAATGAATCCCATTGTATTTTACCTTCAAGATAATCTTCTATATTTTATCATAACTCGTATATTCAGTAATTCCCCAAAAACACGCCAAAACCCGAGAGCAATCTGTGACATCTTCTCATCTCATTTCAACCGCAGCATTTCCGATTCACAAATTGCGCCAGACAGAACACACTAAGAATGTTGATCAAACGAAAAATCCCCATGTAAGTGGGAAAAATTAGCGCGTTTTTGTTACCTTTTTTTTTGAAAGTATCTCTCAGCTGACACTCGGCCATGACTCAGTTAGCGATCGATCGTAGGCAGCAGCAGCAGCAGCCACAACTCTCACAGCTCTTGACGCACAAGTGCGTTGGGGAAGACCCAACTAACTTGATTTTGTGGCACAAACAGACGTTAATCTGGCGTGGTGACTCCTTTGGCTTTAATTGCATGCCACTGGCACGGCACTGCCACTACCAACAATGTACAGCAGCATTTGTGCGGCGGGACTTTACCTCTTTAAACAGAATTTTGTGTGATTTACATTTTGGATGAAAGTTTGCTGCGCTTGCACAACAGTTTATCAAAAACAGAGACATGCACTTGAAATGGAATGAAAAGCATGAGTGCCTTCCGCTCTGTGTTTTTGTGGACCCACCACCACCCACCACCATCACATGTCGACCTGTGGACCTATGGACTTGTGACCTGTCAATGGCAGATGTCTATTGATTTTTGAGACTGACCACGCACACACACACATCTATCAGCGGCCACAAAACCCTTTGGCTAATCGGGTCAAGTGCTTCCAGAGGAGAGAAAAACCATTATG